GTTAGGTTATGATTTTATAATCGCATCAGAGCTTTTTGGGTAGCTTCAAGAACAGTGAACCCAGTGATCATTAAATCAAGTGATAATCTTTTAGCCTAAGTTAAAGTTAGTGTTAGGGTTAATGTTAGGGTTAGGTGATAGTTAGTTTAGGCCGATTTTGTTAGTGCTAGTAAACAAATGATGTAATTACATGATTTCACGAAATGTGATGAACACTGGGTTCATCATTTTTGAAGTGTTCCAGTTTTTTTTATACCAAAATTTAGCGAGGAATTTTTTTTTGCTATTGCACAGTAAGTAGTTTAATATATAAAATTTTGAGTTATTTGCTATTTTTTAATATTTTTAAAAAAACGCATAATATTCACATAATACCTGATCTTAAAATCTAATTGGTCAATTTATGTCGATCAGTGAAAATCTATCGGTGCTACTGTGGTAGTTGGCTAGAACTCGCTGCCTTATTAAGTTGAAGTTGTCAGATGTAACAAGTTGAATGCGCCGCACCATAGCGTGGGCTCGAACTCGCTCCTTATTAAAGTTGCTGTTGTCATGTGTAACAAGTTGAATGCACCGCGCCATAGCGTTCAAGTTACCTTATTAAGGTTGATGTTGTTAGGTGTAAGAGTTGAATGCGCTGTACATAATGTGGGCTCGAACTCGAGTTACCTTATTTAAGTTGATAATTGTCAGGTGTAGCGAGTTGAATGCGCCGCACCATAGCGTGGGCTCGAACTCGCTAACTTAGAAAAGTTAATGTTGTTATGTGTAAGGAGATGAATGCGCCACACCATAGTGTGGGCCCATATCTTCGTTTCTCATTTATGCTTCGTCATGTGAGCATACATCCACGTGAACATAGTTGTTACTAAGCACTGTATGTAATAACAGAAGAGAACGTGATGAAGTGGAGCTCTACTCCTATCATGAATCTTCATAATTTCTAATAAAGAAAGTGTTTAATAATGAAATCCGAGCGAGAATAATATACGGTATTTCAGTATTTAATAAACACTATATAAATACATTTAAAATAATAATCATGAATGCATTTTCTAAAAAATTTATTATATGGTATACCGATTGCAAAGTACATTCAGACCTTGATATAATCACCAGGTTGGGAAACAAAAGTTTGGTGATTATAAAAAGTTGTGACTATATAAAGGTCAAAATTTATGTTTATAATAGCTAGGTTAAAAAATAGCATGATTATAACAGGTTGTGACTATATTGAGAGTGACTACAACAAGGTCTGACTGTATAGTCCATGATTTTTTTGTGATAACAAAATGCCAATTAATTTTGTAAAAAATTCTTGATTTAGCAGAATTGCATAAAACCAACCGGCATTACAATGATCTCAGAATTTAATATTAAGTCAGCAATTTAAAATAATTAACCGTGATTTGTCACATTTCTATAAACCTATTTTGAAATTTTTCTACAAATAAAAAAAGTTGGTATACATTATTTTCGAACTTACTAATGACATAAATCAATTAATTATCAATGAAGCAAAATATAACTTCTTTTTTTATTTCTAGCATTTTCTGAAAAATTCATAGTTTACATGTTGTTCTAAAAAAATCTAGAACATTCGTATTTTATGTGAAACACATGATATGAGCGGACAATTACAATATTACACTAAGCAGCCACATATGCAAATCAGTATATTACGGCAGCATGAGTAATTGGAATACTGTGTTACTAATTGAAACGTAGCCAGTCATTATTGATAAAAGAAATAAAAAATTTTTATTGGCGTAAATTCTATTTATTAATTATTATAAGTGTATATCTTTAAATACGTCCATTGTTAGAAAAAAACGTATAATAAATAAATTTGGTATTTACAATAGTTCTTTTTACAATATAGTTATGACAATAGCTATTTATATATAGTTTGAGTGCTCGAGAGGAAAACTCAAAATTTGAACCCTAAAAAATTAAGTTTAGCGTTTTGATAACTCCAGTAATGTCCGAATGTACGATAATTTATTACTGAAGCCGATCATAATTTTTTTAGGGTCCAAATTTTTAATTACTGATTTTCCCTCTCAAGCACTCATTTGTAGTTTAGACGAGATGGTAATAAAAGTTAGGCTATAAATTAAAGTTATGTCAGTGAATAAGTTACATGACTAATTATTATTATGTATAATTATTCCATATAGTTTATCATTTGTCATATATAAAAAATTATTGGGTCGATTCTTCTGCACCGCTATGCATGACAAATATTAATTAAATAATACTGTACTACTTCTGGTGTATAATTTAATTCATTTTACAGTAAATGAACTTGAACAATGAAGTTAAAGCATAATTTTATTCGCCGTCTTTAATTCTAGATAGTTGTATAAACTAAACGTTATACAACTACCTATTACAAGGAGTGGAGGCTGTGTATCGGCTAGAGTAAGACAAAAAATATCCGTCACCAGTAATCGAGGTTGATTCTCTAACCTCGTGATATCTGATAGGGATGTTATGTGGTCCGGTCTTAGACTAATAGTCTTAAGACCGGTCTGGACCTAAAAAAAAAATTTGTCTGCTCTAAGTCTTAAGACTAAATTGGGTTGGACCAGACCGGACTGTTAACATCCCTAATATCTGAATAGTAAGCTGCCGGATAAATCGATTTCCCGTTCATAGTTGTATTGATGTAGACCAGTGATGTAAATTGGATAGGCTCAGTAGGCGCAGCATACATTGATTTAAACTTGCGCGTATATCAGCACTAACTGTACAAAACACATATAAATTATTTTTTTGTGCATATTTTTTTTGCGTTTGCGCCAATAAATTTTTTAAATTTATAACACTGGCGTAGATAATGCATATAAAATATTATTAAAAAATAAAATATTAAAAAAAAAAATTACTAGTTCTTTAATTTAAGTATAACTTTTTTAAAAAAAAATTTAAATACTTTAAATGCTTTTTACTGATATTTGTTTTGCTAAAGTTTAGCACATATTTAACTATTAATTAATTGGTGTAGTTAGGTGATGTTTTATTTATTATCATTGTATTTAATTATTTTTTTTGCTATGTTTTATACAGTATCTCCTTTACCTACTACTTACATTTTAAAACGTATTGCGATGCCTTTCTGAATCAATTCTGAATCAAATTCGAAATTATGATTTGGACAATCAAGATCGCAAAAGCTTGTCGAGGACCAATGTTTATTTCATTTTTTTGAAAAAAAAATTCAGTTTTCAACTAAGAAATTACTCGGAGCGATTCTTAATTCAGATGAAATAAACGATTAATGACGATAATAAAGATAATAAATAAGTGTTTCTTTTAGTGATGCATTTTTTTTTTAAGAAAAAAAAAGTATACTTGAGTTGATCTTTTTTTTATTCATTATACTTGAATTGTTATTTTTTTTATTCGTGAGACCTTTGATCAAATATTAGACCTTCATCAATAAAGGGAAAAATAAGAAATGTTTAATGGATGGAAATCTTTATAACAAGTGTCTAAATATATTATTTAGTATATTTCAATGTTCAAACAATAAGTTTCAAATTCTTCGTATCGGTATATTTTAGCAAGATAGAATTTCTTTGGAAATACAAACTCACTATATTGAAAATTTTTATAAAGCAAACAACTGAACATGAAGGGTCAAAATATGTAGGTCATGTTCTTGCGGAAAAATAATATACAATGTACAAGAAAATGAGGATATGATATTCCTATTTGCGTTACTAAAATATTAATTATCATTTAATAAAAAACTATTCCATATATGCTTTGCCTTAAACGTTAATCGGTAAATGTATACCATATTTTAATTTAAGGATGACGTACAAATTTAATAAGGATAACACGAGACATATATAGCTACATTTAAGTCATTCCATTTTTATTAAATTTTCCTTTTATTTCTTTTCTTTTATATATAAACAATAGCAAATCCAGAAAGTATAGATAGAAAATTCCATAAAAAGGTTTAAAGTTCAAAATTAAAATTAAGGTTTAACAATTTAAAAAATTAAATTCCGGAAGCATTAAAGTTTATATTTATTTGAATTTATTCTATTGTTCGAACAAAACGAAAATTATTTGCATTTAAAAAATTCAAACAATAAACTATTAAAGGCTCTAAACAACCAAATTTGGATTGTTCAAAAAATCCTTCTTTTTGAATTACGTACGTACGTAGGTTTCAATAAAGTCATCCAAAATTAGTTTATAAAATTATTACTTTACGTAAAGTAATTATCAAGTTTTAGATTTATATGGAAATCTATGGATACAAGTTTTAGACTTGTATGGATAGACCTGAAAGAAACCAAATTCTGGATTCTTAAGAAAAAAATGAAAACCAAAAATCCTTGTCCTGTTTATTGAATACTTTCATTTTCATTAGTCATTAACGAAGTTCTCAAATGAAAAAATTTAAAAAGTTTTCCCGAGTTCATTGATAAAACGATTAGGTCTAGACATTAATCAGATAATGATAAATAAATTTTAGTGGTACATTTTTAAGTATGACTAACGTATTAATATTAGATATTTAAATGACCAAATACATTGACAAAAAAATTCTTTTTAATAATATATTTAACGTTATGTTTCATTGATGGCTTCCATTTTAGGAAAAACTAATAATTTAAACAAAGTGTCTAATTAAACAAAGTATGCATATCTGTAAACAAATGTTGCATAAGGGAGTGTTAATTTTGCGTATGTACGACACACCTAAGCCACCACCCCAAACATGATGTACATCAATGCAATGTAACACATTGCATGCCTTGAGATAACGCTTATAAAAATTTCCATTTTTGTGTATCTTTAGAAAATATACCGTAAAAAAATATAAATAGCAAACCATCGAAGTTTGACGATTAAATATATTTTTTCTAGGTAAGACACAAATAAAAGTTTCTCGCAGTTACGGCCAATGAATTATTTCTACATACGTAACGGCTCGCACATCGGTAACGACGTTGATTGATAATTATAGGGCAAACATGGACTCAACTTTCAATAGTACAATTATATTAAATAACTCTGAAATAAGTAGACAAAAATCTGCTTCCTCCGATACTGATTCTGAAGTTCTCTCTGAAGTTCTCTCTGAAAATTTCGACGAACCCGATATAAATGATCAAAAATCTGCATTCCATGATTTTGACTACGGAACTCCAGATCTTTTGGGACTCCCTGATAAAATAAAGGTGGAAATTTTTAAGCATGTTCGTTTCCCAATAAATTTAATATTAGTTCGTAATGTTTGGTACCAAATTTCCAAACAAAATGACTCCAGAGCTAAATGGATAATTACTCATTTCGGTAAAGCACATGCATTGTTCCACGCAATTCGTTGCGGGCCAAATTTTATCAATGTACCAGTAGTTCAAGAAATTATTGAAATGGGAGGAATAATATCTAGGTACTTTGTTCAAAGATTTTTACTCTCGTTCGGTGAATACGATCCAAAATTGATCGAGAAAAAAATTGAACATAATGTGAGAAACGTCGATATTGAAAAAATTCGCAAAGCACAACAAAAACATACAGCACCTTGGGGTAGCGATACACCTTTTGCAGTATTTACGTACATTTTGCTTGAAGCTTCAAAATTATTAAATCCTTATGATAAATCCGAACCTTATTCCGAATTAGCTGTTAAAGGAAATGATATGGAATCTTTCCATTTTCAAAGTGGTGGACCATACGTAATCAATCAAGCTAGAGAAAGGCTTGAGGATAATTTGGAATCGATTAAAGAGTTGATCTTAAAATGGAAATTTATACCATTTCCACCGAGACCTAAAAATATGCAACAAGAAGGCAAAGTCATTGAGGACTATCCTTCAAAAGATGGGTATGAAAATTATAGACAATTGAATATCATTGCTCGGGCAATATTAATTCACAAGGATTTGGTTAATTTGTGGAAAGAAATTGGTTACTATGATATCGTAAATGATGTTAACGACCTCGTTATCCAAGGTTCTTTATTATTATTATTCCCCCCTATTCCAACTAAAGATTATGTGATGCCAACCGTAAAAGAAATCGTCGAA